AAAATCCCACCCAGTGTCGTCAAAAAAATCCTGTACCCTCGCAGATGTGTGCTGTCTGTGGGGGAATAGGGATGCCAACGTGGACTCGCCCATCCAACAATCATGCCAGAAGAAAATCTGACCGGTTCCAAGGTGCCAAGCAATGTGTGGATCCGTCCGTGGCCCAACTGATTTCAGCCTCTTCCAGGTAGGGAAAGTTGAACTGGGAACTGCTGCAAGTAAAGGGTGCGTCCCCTTACAATACTTGCCCAGTAAAAACTGAGCCCAGAGTGACCTCTGAGATCGGAACAGCCACCAGAGCTTCATGGAGAAGGTGTCCACCACATCCTGCAATCTCCTAAAGCCGAGGCCTCCCTCATCAGTATCTGAAGCCAGTCAAAATCTCTAGTCGTCTGATCTGACTAGTGGATGCCCGTCTGGATAGTATAATACCACTCTTGTCTCTATTCACCAATTGGCCAGAAACTCCTTCATAGTGCTCCAAGCAGTCTAAGACCCTCCTGATAGACTGTTTCTGACCGTTGGTAAAGATGATCATATCATCAGCAAATGAGAGATGTGAGACAAGAGCACTACCTCCATGTCGATAACACATACTGGGATACTGCTGAAACCTCTGAGTGAGCAAGCGTGAGAAGTAGTCTGCTGCAATGATGAACAAGGATGGGGAGATAGGATCACCCTGTCTAAGTCCTCGTGAGGAGCGAAAGAAACCACATGGGCGGCCATTTAGGAGTACGGAGAAACGACACTCCGAAACGCACCACCTGATTCTGTCAATCCAGATCTTATCAAATCCAAATGCCTCCAATATAGAATAAATGAAGCACCAGTCCATGCGATCATATGCTTTAGCCATGTCTAACTTCAGCATAGTGTTTCCCTCTCGCGCTCTATCATCTAAAGTGTAGAGAAGCTCCTGAGCCAATAAAACATTATCTCCAATCAGACGGCCTGGGATGAAACCACTCTGTGGAGAGGAAATAATGCGCGGTAGCAGTGTACTCAACCGAGTGTTCAAAAGCTTAGTAATAATCTTATTGAACACTGTGCATAAACTGATTGGTCTGAATTCAGTCCATCTGCAAGCACCATCCTTCTTAGGTAGCAAGACAATAGAAGTAGCAGCAAAATCCCGTGGAAGATGACCACATCAAAGAAATCCAATACCGCCCTGTAAACATCCTCCTGAATGATATCCCAGCAATGCTGGAAGAATAGGGATGAGAAGCCATCCGGACCAGCGACACTGTTAGCATCAATACTGAAAACTGCATCCCGTACCTCATGAATTAAAGGGGGGCGATTTAGTGCCAGATTATCATCCACCGTCAATAGCCTCGGAATGACATCAGAACGGATGTGGTCCAAGGGTTGTGGAGGAGCAGATAAGAGATCCTGGTAGAAAGCAACAGCCGAGGTCTGAATATCAGTAGGAGTAGATAACACTTCCCCCGCCTGTGTCCTGATAGACCTGATACGCGATTTGATCCTACGCCCCTGAACCATCGCATTAAAATATCGAGTATTGTGATCACCCTCACATGCCCAACGTGAACCGGCCTTTTGCTTCCAAAAGCCCTCCTCAATAGATAAGGTCCGGTTCAAAACTGCCTGGGCCTGATGTAGTAAGTTATGGTTCTCCGGTGTAGGATCTCTATCATATATTATCTCAGCCTCATCAACCCCGACTTCAGTATCGCGCACTCGCTGGAAAATATCTACAAATACATGTCGGTTCTACCAGCGCAGACCCTGTTTCAGCCTGAAGAACTTCTCCCAAAGAGCGGTCATCCCTGTGAGATGAGTAGGGATCGACCACTTCTGGGAGACAAAGGCTAAAAAATCATGGTGCTTGGTCCAAACATTGAGGAATCTGAACGGTCTAGGCCCCAAATCATCATCAGAAACCCACTGAAGCAGTAAAGGAGAGTGATCGGATGAAGTCCGATTCAAGTGTCTCACTATAAGCTGTCGACAAAAAGCTGCAGCTGTAGAATTAATAAGTACCCTATCCAATCTCTTTCTAACCCGACCATTGGTCCAAGCATATCGATTTCCAATGAAACCCACATCCTCTAAACCACAGTCTAACATCATATCAGAGAAAGCAGTAGTGCCACGATTACGGGTATTATGACCAGTGCGCTCTCCATCATGTGTAATAACATTAAAGTCTCCCCTAACTAGCCAAGGATCGTCCATGTCGAGGGAGATGTGGTGAAGACCCGCCCACAAATCTCTCCTGATAGTAGCATCACATGACGCATATACTGGAGTCGAATAGATAGCACGCGCTAGTCTGGGATCCTCAACTCTAACGTGAAGAAACTGGGGATGATCAACAATAACAGTAACATTAGTCCCCGAATTCCAGAAAAACCAGATCTTGTTCGATTCATTTTGAGCTCCAATGTCGAAGCGCAGATAGCGTCGTGTATATGCAAAATTTTGCCGCAGAACAAAAGGCTCCAATATAGCTAGAAGATAAACCTGATGAAGCTGTATAAGTTTCTTCAGGCACCGACGAGTAGCTACACTAGCTACACCTCTCACATTCCAAATGATGGCATTTATAGGGAAGGAGAATGTGAGGATGTATCATGTGACTGACTCCGAGTGATCCTTCTGCTCGGATGTGGAGTATTAGTAGCCCGTGGGTGTCTCTTCCGAACAACTGGGATAAATCCATCTTCCTCTGTCCTCTCATCCAAACCCACCAAGTCATCAGAAGAAGACCTTCGAAAAGGTCCCTGCTGGTGAACCTCAATCTGAGGTGAGCTCTCTGTATCTGAATGCGCTGACTGCAAAGATGGAATAGATGCCTCCACATTTTGATGACAAACAGGAGGAGAAGAAGTGGAAATAGGTGCCTGAGCCCTACCGGGTGTCGGGCCTGGAATGTAAGAAGTTCTACTAACTGTGTCTGCTGTAGAATTCTGTGTCTGTGGCCTCTTCAACATCTCATCCAACATAGGATCATAAAATGGAGTGATAGGTTGACTGATAGCCTGAGCAGGAGCTGAAGGAGTGGTAGATGTAACTGGATCTACAACACTGATAACTGGTAAGGTTGTAGTAGAGGGAGGAGCAATTGGAGGAACAGATGGCTGGGTCTGAGCATGTGAGCTAGTGCCAGTAGGTAATGGGACTGATGTGATGTGCAGGGTGGCAATGCTCCTCAGTATGACCAAAATGTCTGCACCGAAAATAGTAATCTGGTTCTTCTCATACACAACACTTTGCCAATATCCTCCACACTTTTCACGCTGAATCCAAATCCTATCTGGAAGCTTATACTCCAAATTAACCTCAATGCATACTCGTGCCTCACTGGGTCGTCGTAAATCTGAAGTGGCCTCATCAATACGTAATGGGAGTCCAATGGCCTTAGCCAGGGCAAACAAACTACTCTTTGCCCGAAAGTGAATGGGCAGTAATGGGAATGAAACCCAAACAGGGACAATAGGAGTCTCATGCCTAGGATTAAAGCTGGGTGTCCACTTAAAAACGCGCATGAGACAGCCATCGATGTACCAAGAGGGCTTGAGAAATAGGCGTGAGTAATCATCCTCATGTGCCAAGTGTATTAGAATATGAGTCGCATCAATAAGTCCAATCATATAATCACCACAAAAACCAAATTTTTGAAAGCTGTCACGTACCTTAATCATGGAGGGCTTGCGACGTGAGAATTTGCCTACAAGAGTAAATTTATACGGTTCAGCGATTGGCCGGAATCTGCGATTTTCCAAGCGACTGGCCGTAACTTGCGATAGTCGGTGACGGCGCGTCCGACGTCGGAATTGGATGATTTTTTAGTCAAAGGTTCACCTTATCATGGGTAATCTGATGGTCAGGCGTGTGGCATTGGTTGAGCTCTGTAGATGATTTAATTGAAAAATCAGATTTCGGCCCCTCGGGATTCGATCTGTCAATTTTGGGCGATTCAGACGAAATCTCAACTACCCCTAGGGTTTTTGGCCCTTCTGGAATAATTGGTGATGTTCCCAGACCTTGAATCACTATAGAAGATGAAGTTTTGGTGACGTTGGAAAACGTGCCACCATTGTTCTTATTAGAATTCAATCCAATCACTTCCAAAACTGTTAAATCTTGATTTTCCTGATCCTCTGGGGTTGTTTGGGGTTCAGATCCACCAGGTAAAGGTGGTATATCGGGTGGTGGGTTAAGATTCTTGAAGGTTTGTGGTTTGTCTCCCATTCTAGAGAGAAGGGAAAGCGTTCGGGGCTAGAGAGAGAAAGTGTTTGGTTTTGGTTTGTTTGGTTTGTTTGGTTTAGGGTTTAGGGTTTGGTGTTTGGGGTTTGGGATTTAGGGTTTTTGGCCCTTCTGGAATCACTAGTGATGGTCCTAGACCCAGATTCAATGCGTAGAGTGGAGTTTTGACAACATTGGGATTCGTGCCATTAGCATTTTCATGTAAATCTGATTCTATTGCTTCCAAAACCATTGTAGCTTGAAGTGCTGGAAGATTTTGGGTTGTTTAGGGTTGAAATCCAACAGGTAAAGGTGGTATGTCGGGTGGTGGATCAAGATTTTTGAAGGTTTGTGATTTGTCTCCCATTTTAGAGAGAAGGGAGAGCGTTTTGGGCTAGAGATAGAAAGTGCGGTTTAGGGTTTGGTTTTGGTTTAGGGTTTGGGGTTTAGGGTTTTTGGCCCTTTTGGAATCATTGGTGATGGTCCCAGACCCTGATTCAATGCATAGAGTGGAGTTTTGACAACATTGGGATTCGTGCCATCAACTTTTTCATATAAATCTAATTCTATTGCTTCCAAAACCATTGTGGCTTGGAGTGCTGGAAGATTTTTGGTTGTTTGGAGTTGAAATCGATCGGGTAAAGGTGGTATGTCAGGTGGTGGATCAAGCTTTTTGAAGGTTTGTGATTTGTCTCCCATTCTAGAGAGAAGGGAGAGTGTTTTGGGCTAGAGAGAGAAAGTGCAGTTTAGGGTTTGGTTTTGGTTATGGTTATGGTTTTGGTTTAGGGTTTAGGGTTTGGGGTTTGCGGTTTAGGGTTTAAGGATTTCGGCCCTTCTGGAATCATTGGTGATAGTCCCAAACCCTGATTCACTGCGTAGAGTGGAGTTTTGATAACATTGGGATTCGTACCATCAACATTTTCATATAAATCTGATTCTATTGCTTCCAAAACCGTTGTAGCTTGAAGTGCTGGAAGACTTTGTGTTGTTTGGGGTTGAAATCCACCGGGTAAAGGTGGTATATCGGGTGGTGGATCATGATTTTTGAAGATTTGTGATTTGTCTCCCATTTTAGAGAGAAGGGAGAGCGTTTTGGGCTAGAGAGAGAAAGTGC